ACACACACACACACACACACACACACACACACACACACACACACACAAAATGTTGATGGATGGTTCCATGGAGCTAGAGAGATATCTCAGGGGATAACAGCACTGGCTGCTCTGTCAGAGGGCCTGGGTTCAATTCCCAGCTACATGGCAGCTACCAACTACCTGTGACTCAGTTCCAGAGGATCTGACGCCCTCTTCTGGACTTAACAGGCACTGTGGTACACAGACATAAATACAGGCAAAATACCCAAACACACACACACACACACAAAATCACTGTTTTTTTTAAGCGGTGGTGCACTCCTAGTTATGGAGCTAAGTTTCTTTTGCCTAGTTCTGTCCATCAGTTTTGCGGTCGTGAGGTTTATGGGAGTGTTGGAGTAAACAAGCCTGCACCTCCAGTCTTATAAATGTTTGACCTATAATTAATCGCAGCAATGATCACATGATCATTGTGATAAATGATGAATACTGGTTCAGTATTTACTGGTTCAGTGTTTACTAGACTGCACTTTGTATCATTAGAGTTCAGGCCTTTCTAATTACAAGTTTTAAAGATCTTACTATAAAGTTGTGCTGTGTTACACAGCATCTCTAGACTCTATCTAAAGACCATGTGGAGCAAGCATGATGGCACATACCTGCTACAGTGGAACTCAGGAACCTGAGCCAGGAAGATCAAAGTTTGAGCCAGCCTATGCTAAAACTGAGTTCAAGGTCAGCCTGGAAGAGAGTGTGTCAAACAAAACACGCAGCCGTGTTGGGCAGTGTTGGTATGACGCCATACCAACTAGATACAATCACACAGCACATTCTGTGTAGCCCACAATAAAATCACTAACTGCTCAGACCTACTCATCATTAAACAGTACAGGACTATACAACAGAGCATAGCAGTGTGGGTCTTTTTTCCTGAACCTGGTGTTAAAGGACAAGACAAATACGCACTTGACAAGCTGTGTGATCCTGTGATCCTGACAGTCACTCCCTCATAACTAGCTCTTTGGCTGTTCCAAATTACCTTCATATGGCTGAATTATGTCAAAAAAAAAAAAAAAAAAAGACGTACACAGAACTCTGCACATCCAACGTTCTCAATTAACTTTCTTACCTTAAAACAGATTCGACAAAAACCCTTAATGCTTTTATATGAATCCATGCAATAAATGCCTCGCTGAAATTTACTTTAAGCCACCGCACAAGTGGTCCCTTTAAAAAGAAAAACACAAAATTACCACAAATTTGGTTTGCAAATGGCAATCAGACAAGTCAAATATCTTTAATGAAGTGACTAGGCATATTACGAAAGGATACCCATTACCTTACTTCATGTTCTTACGCTACTCAGTAGCCTCGGCAGACTCTAGAGTGAACTGGGCTAATCAGCAGCTAAAGGCACACGTGTTCATGAAAGCACTTCAAACTGGGCTTGAAAGCTGTTGCACAAACACTTGGTCATACAACATGACACCACTTACAACTGCTCCCCTCTGTGCTCTCGGGAACACAGCCCGTCCCCATCCCTAGCTCCTACTGTTCTCTCCTGTAACAAGCGCGTTGTTTTGCGTGCCTGCTCATGTTTTACATTTTCCTGAGTCTACAACAATGCAAGTTCTTGTTGAATTTAAATGTTTAGCACAATTAAAAACTTCTTCAAAGATGTCAAGCAACACTTCTTCCTGTCTATCAACAAAGGCATCATATTGATTCAACTAACACATGACTTAGTATCATCTGGACACACCAAGCAATTATTCCAGGCAAAGAGGATACAGTAAAATGTACAGCTCTGACCAAAATGTTTGCTCATTGATTGCCATGGCCAACAGCATCTGACACGTGCTTCCTAGAGAGCGGAGCAGGTCAGTGAGGTGGTGAGGAGCTGTGCATGGCTGTGCCACTGCTCCCTGGTGTCCAGAGAAAGCCTGGCTCAGACTTGGGGTGGACTTGGAGGCACCTCCTTCACACAACCCTAGGCTTCTGGGAGTCAATACAGACACATGTAAACATGTATTTTAAATTTTTTTTGAGACAAGTTCTCATGTAGCCAAGGATGACCTAGAGTTCCCTAACCCTCTGCCTCTTCCTCCAGTGCTGGGATTACAGGCAGTGCCAGCACACCAGCTTTTGTCCGTGGCCTGTGACTTAGAGCGTGCTAGGAAAGCACTCTACTGAACTGTATCTTCAGCCTCAACACTTACAGTTTTCTAGCACAAAATTATAAAGTGCATTTTCATGTTCCTCTTGGAGACTCCCAGGTTATCCGTATCTCCAGAATGTATTTTTTCATTTTCCAAAGACTCAAAATCAAAATAAGCTCCAAAAAAATCCAATGAAAAGATTGCAAAAAGAGAGCAGGAGTAAGAACAGATGCTGTGCACAAAGAAGGACCTGAGGTCAGATCCCTGAACCCATGTAGAAAAAGAAAAGGAAAAGGCCAGGCATGGTGCTCATAATCCCGTGCTGCAGGGAGCACTCATAGCGGGGTCTGGTGCTTGCTTACTGCCTATAATCCCAACACCATGAAGCTCAGGCAAGACAATCTCTGAAAGCTTAAGACAGCCCTGGCCATACAGTGAAGTCCGCCTGGACTATGACATGAAGCCCTGTCTCAAAAACGCAGAGGAGCAAAGCAACTAAAATCATCTTAAAATGATCTTAAAAGGGAAAACCAGAGAACGTTTGCCTTTTTCCAAGTCACAATAGGCAACAGTACATCATCTTCTGCTGAACAATGCTACGGAACAACACATACAAACTGCTTCTTCTTGTCAGTGGAAAGCCTGTTCATTTCTTCTTTATCTGCTTTCATCTCCTCCTCATTATATTGGAAGTCACGAACTATGAACCTAAGTGTTGGAGAAAACACAAGTGTGTCGACACCACATATAGCCAATCCAACAAACTTAAATTATGTACATACATCTCTGTATGTGTGTGTGTGTATATATATATATATATATATATATATATATATATATATATATATAT